TAAAACGGTCTTAAAAAGTATTAATAATTATAATAAAGTTGTTTTAATTAATTATTATATATATAATTTAATAATAATATTTTTTAACTTTTTTAATAAAAATAATAGTAATTATTAAATAATATTTATAATTTTAAATCTTAATTTTTTTATAATTAATATAAAATATAATTAAAGTCTTTTATAAAACGTTATATTTTCTTTTTAAATACTTTTTTTTTAAAAAAATATTTTATTTAAATTATTTAATTACCGTATATTAGTTATTTTTAAATTTAGATTTTTACGATTTATTTAAAAAAAGGGATTAAAGCCGTATTAATTATAATTAATTAATTACGATTTAATATTTATATTTAATTAAATAAGGCTAAAGAGCTTTATTTTTATTAACGATCCGTTAATTATAATAAAAGTTAAAAAAAGTAATAATAACTTTATTTTTAATAATATTCTTTTTCATTAATATAGATTTTAAAACCGGGATAACTTTAATTACAATTTTAAATAAGAATTCGGGCTTTTTAATTTACTAAGTAAATTATTTAAATTAATTTACTATTCGGTTAATTTACGCTTTATATTAAATTAACAAACTAGTAATTTAAATTTTTATTATAAACGTTTTATAAAGGCGCCTTATCAGTATTTAATTTAATAAGACTTTATGATTATAAATAAATCCGTTAAACCTTTTAATAATCCGTTTATTTACGAATTTAAATTAATCCTTAAGTTAATAACTTAAGTTATTAATTACATAATAAAATAGGGTTAGCCTAGTAAGGTTTTATTTATAATATATTTTAATTATAAATAGTAGCATCGTATTAATTTTTTAATTATTAAATCCTTTATAATATTACATAATTAATCTCTTTAATATACTTTAATATTAACAGTAATTTATTAATTTAAAATAAATATTTTTATTTACGCTTAGTTTAACTTGCTCAAGGTCGTATTTTAGTTTATATTAAAATTTAAAACAATCGCTATATTAATTTTTAATACGCTAAGGTTTAACCTATTTAAAAATAGCGGCGGCAGCCTTTTATCGTTACTTAATTCGTTATTAAAAGTTGAATTAATTCTTACTTGGATTTGCGAATAGTGGGCGGATAAATAGACGTTGCTCGAATTCTTAGGATTATAAATAGTAGTATTTTAATTAATTAGATTTTTTTTAATTTATCTATACTTAACTAGCCGAGGACTATAGCCTTGACGTTAATATTATACCTTTTTATTTATTTAGCTTAACTAGCTTATTTTTTAAGATTAAGCTATCCCGTTATAGCTATATTTTTGTTGTAAAAGGTGTTGAGATATTTAATTTAGCCCGCCTGTGCTATGAGAATAATATATACGATTAACTTAACTTAATTTAGGGAAAATATGTTCTTATTTGCTTGGGACGGGTAGACTTAGTGTTGCTGTTGTATTACGATAGCGGCGTGTATAAGCACGTTTTGTTCCTTAGCTAGGCCGGCTTGCCTTTGTTCGACACTGCTAATTAAGCCGCTAAGGCCGATATCGACGTGGTTGCTTAAGTATATAATAAAATGTATAAATTGGGTGTCCTTCACCGCGATGCGGAGCTATGTAACGTCTTCTGTGATATTGTGGGTGGTGGTATTATGGTAGTGGATTTTGAGCGGGCTGAACTCAGCTGCCGCCTTCCGCTCGGCTTGCTTTATTCTAACGTTCGAAGTAAAAAGAGAAAGCGTGCAGCGCTTGAGAAGCCGGGATTATCGGTATATCAAGGGAAAGATGGTTTTGCGATAGAATTAGAATCGATCGTGGGTTATGTTTTAAGGTATATTATAGCGGCGTAGTGAGAAACCGCTGTTAGCGTTGCTAGTAAGTTCAAGATGTACGATAGCTCATTTTGATTGACTTGGTGTAATTATTTGCTTTGAAGACATTTTGATGTTGAAGATTTATGTAACGTCGCGCACGAGAACTGTCTTAAGCTTTAGTGATTTATATAACACGTCTTGATATTGGTAGATTACTTATTTCTTTGCGGAGGACTAGGTGGGAACTAGCCTGGTCCACTATCGTTGTTCTTGGACGTCTTAGACATGTCCCGGGCTTTTTTGCTGGTCCTATGACGTCCTAGAAGTATCTATGGTCGTCCCAGGTAAACTCTGGGACTCTCCAGCTTTTCTGAGACGTCCTGGGTGTGCCTAGGACAACCATCATAACAGCAGCAGCAGCAGCAGCGGAGCCGATGTGAGGCGAGGCAAGGCAAGGCAAGGCACCTTACCTTCGTAGTGCGATTCGAAAACGGACTTGCAGCTGCTGCGTCACTCCTTGTCTTGCCTTACGTGACACCTCACTCGGCACCTTACCTGGTATCTGTCTCTCTCAATGCCAAGAATAGGAATCAAGATGCAGTCGAGAGACAAGCGCCGCGGCAATGGCCTGTTACTGGCTAGGCTGGAACAGATCAAACGGAAAGCTTGCCAGGGCCTGGCCGCCCGGGGGTGTCGAGAGTCCTGAAGCAGTGGAGAGACCCGGCAACGGTTACAGCAGCAGGAGAAAGAGAAACAGAAACAAAGACGCTACCAGGAAACAAGTGTACCAGTTTTGGAAAAACTGGTCGATAATTCTGTATTCCATTCAACCTCGTACACAGATTTGCTACGCGAAACACTTTTCCACGTTTAAGTCTTGTTCGGTGTTTCCCCGTCTTTGCCTCGCCTTGCCTCGCTTTTCCCGACTACTCCTCCATGTTGCAACCACCCAACACGACTCTGATTTCTTTTTCTTTTTTTTTTCCCCTAAAAAATGTTTTCTTCATTTGCCTACCTCAGTCCCCGGTGGCATCCTTGGCAGCTAGCAAACCTGGGCTCTGGTGAGATGAACTCTGAAAGGAGAGGCGCAGCAGCCTAGCAGAAAGTCAATGGAAACGAACACATCCAGTTCGCTGCTAGGGTGTTACAGAGTTCTGGATAGTCACGGCCCCTCACCCACGAACGGAAGCGATGACGCCAAACGGCAAGAAGAAGGGTTACCATACGGATACTATTTGCCTTGCAGGCATCTCCGGCAGATACGCCCATCGGTCGAGTTCCGTCGTCTCATTGATGGATGCCGACAAAACTGACGACGGACATAACGCCTTTGCAGCAGACGCAGCAGCTCGCTCCTGCAGATCCAGGGCCGTGTCCCGGCGGGCTGTCAGATATTACGTCTGTGAGGCGATCTCGCGTTTCTCGTATGTATTTCTACCTTTGACCATGCAGAGTCCCCGAGGTGCGCTCAGTCGTCTGCGACCTTTTTTTCAACCCAACTGCCGTCCTCCTCCGACTCCAACCCCAAGTCTGTTCCAGCTCCATCCGATCCAGACAAAAGAGGAATCCCACACAGACGCGCAGAGCAGAATCACCGCCCGCGACTCACCTTGTGGCATATGCCGTACGCACTTTGGGACCACCACGCCTTCCATCGCGCCATGAGCCTGAATCAGGAATAAACCAGCTCCGAAAGCTGCAGCCCGGCCCAGCCCAGCCAGAGGAATGGTGATGTGGTTCTTTGGGGCGTGGCTTTGTAAGGCTGCCTTCCTAGGGGGACGGGCCCACAGCATATTCAAGGCGTGCCGCAGACGCGGAGGCTGGCGCAGACGCAGCCCAGGTACCTTGGGCAATGGAAGTAAGGTAGACGCAGGCGTAGGCGCAAACGCAGACGCAGAGTCCGTGATGTTGCTTTGCTGCTTGGCCGTTGCGGCCGCTGCCACTGATACATGCCCGCTGTGAGGTTAAAGCCTGCAGCCGCCGCTACTGCGCTTCCCCCTTCCCCGTCGTCCCCGCCTTGCCTTGCCTTGCCTTGCCTTGCCTTGGTTTGGTTTGCGCTAGCGTGCCTTGGGACTCCCCCTTCGTTGCTGAGGCCTTGAGAGGTAAGATGGTAAGGTACCTTGTGTCAGTCCCAGCTGTGCGGGAAGAGGTGGCCCGGGTTGCGCACTTTGACACCATCGCCTGCAAAACCCATCTGATTAGGAAATGGCCGAGAAGGACTGGAGCTTGTTTCTCTTTTGTCTCTTCTCTTTTTTAAAACCCTCTCCCTGTGAACGTGATGGTGTAAACACGACGCTACTCGATCCCCTTCTTACCGTGGCGCCTCCGTATTATGTCTTGGCACCTCCTTGCTGTAGCCGTTGCTTGCTCCTCCCTGCCTCAACTCCTGCCCCTCCGGAGCATTCAGGGTGCACCCGACTCACCGACACAGGCAGGTGATTACCTACCTTCCAGTTGACATCCTGAGGCTGCCATGGGCCCCATCTCAGTGTAGGTGGGGTGCCTTAGGTACCTTCCTGCCTGGACTTACCTAAAACTGGGTAGATCGGATAATTCATTTGGCCAGGAGGCAGCCTAAGGTAGATGCTGCATGCTGGTCGACTACGTCTCTGTCCTTCTTCCTCAATATTCGATGCTGCTCAGCCACTTCAATCCGGGTTTATTGAGATATCCCAGACTCCCATCGATCCGAACGACTGGAAACCTCCTATTGCCTGTGCCTGTGCGACACGCGTTCACTCTTCTTGGCCGGACACTTTTCCCCCGGATTCAAGCCCACTTGGTGCTGCATCTGCTCCGCCCCCGTCTGAGTGCTTTCGGCCAGGCCGGCTCTCCAAGGCCTCCAAAGCCCAACGTCAGACGGACCACCTCTGGACCCGAGCTCGATCTTGACTACACCCGGAGCCTCCTCTTGGTCTAGTGCAACATTATGCTACTGAGCCTTGCACCACCACCAGTCTATCCAAGCTCGGTCAAACAAGAGACAAATCGGGCCTGGGCACTGTCCCGTCACGACATCCTCATCAACTCCAGACACCCACCATCATGCTCCCCTATCCCGCTCAAATTCATGCGTCGATATCAACTATACACTCAGACGCCAGTTCGGAAAAGTGACCTTCAGGTGAAGATATTCACGCCCGCACATGCCTCGTCTTTGCATTCACGTCCACGCGTCCGTCCTCTTGTTGCCCGACAATGGAGCTGACGACTCATCACAGGCCTCAGCAATGTGAAATCATCGCGACGGCCCTGGCTGGCAAAGACGTCTTCGTCCAGGCTGCCACATCGTTTGGCAAGAGTCTCTGCTTCCAACTCCCTACCTACATTAACTACAGCAGTAAGTACCCAAAACTACCCCGAGCACTCGCAGACGTTGTTAACTAACGTGATTCCTGTGGCAGCACAGTTACCATCGTCGTTTCGCCACTGCTCAGTCTCATAATGAGGGGTGTTCCATATAGCCTTAGTCAGGCCTAACAGCTGACAGCTCCATCAGATTAACCAGGTTGAAGCCATGCGGTCGGTAGGCATTAACGCCAGCTCACTCAACAGCAACACGCCGCCTATTAACAAATACCGCATTAATTAAGACCTAGCTAGCGGTCACCCCCGTATCAGGTTATTATACACGACCCCAGAATTATACTTTAGTAACTCGTTTAAGAGACGTATTAAGCTGGTCCATGAGTAATATAAGTTAACCTATATTACTATTAACAAAGCCCACTATATCTCTAAATAAAGCCATAACTTCCGTAAAAACTTTAACCGTCTATTATAATTTCGTAAGACCTTCCTAAAAGTTCTTATTATATATTTAATAGCTATAGTGAACCTAGTGGTTCGCGAAGACCTACTTAAGACCCTTGGTCTTTTAAAGTAGCCTAAAAGGCTTAAAAGCTTCGTTATATCTATATAATATCTAAATCTGTATATTCAAATCAGATACATTAAGGACTAAAATAATAACTAGTTTTCTAACTTTTTTACGTCAATACGTAATATATATATAAAAAAGGAAAAAGAGCCGTATAATCGGAGCTTAAAGCCGAAGGCGAGCGCCTAAATAACGTCTTAAGTATTATCTATACTATTATACAAAATAAATACGAATTACTAACGGTAGTACTAAGGGATAAAGGTATAGGGGTAAGGCCCTTCTATGCGAAGCTAATAAAAAAAATTAAAAAGTAAACTCTATCTCGCTAAGTAAAGAATAAACCTAGCTATAATATTATTGTAGTTATTATACTTTTTAGGATAAGTATTAATAAAAACGACGTATACTTTATTATTTACTAACGGCTCCTTAAGTTTTTTAAAAAGTATTATTAAAAAGTAGGCCGCGCGGGGCGTGATAATAACGCTAGCTTCTATTTTCTATATTATAATTAGGAAAATTTATAACGAATATAAAGTATAATTAAAAAAAGTAATTACGACGGATTAAATTAAAAGGCTTAGGTAAAAAGCTTACAGAGGCTCGCTCTTTATTATAAAGATATGACGATATATCGTTACGCATAGATCTATAAGTATTTTAAAGAGAGCGAGATGCCTAAGTACGACTATGCGTGTGCGTCAGGTCTGCAGAGGCGTCTGATGCGCGGCTTGGCCGACGAGGAGTGGGTTAGCACCTAGGCTCAGTACGGTCGGTATGAAGGTTATTATGACGACTAGGTTTGTTTGAAGGTTGTTGGGTGCAGTTTTGGCTAGGTTTGATACCTAAGACGGTTGCTAGCGTTTCAAAGCTTCCTGTTGATAAACTGGACCCCTTCAGCTGCCTTTTCTTATAAATGCAGCTGATGCTACTTAGCCACTAAGAGATAAGCGCCGTTTTATCTGGTGGTATCTTGAGATAATAATGTTTATCCCTCGCGAATCCCTTTTACGGCCCAAAAGAATACTTAGTGCTCTAGGTGCTTAATGATGGCTAATGAAGGTGAAAAATGATGTTTCTTTCAAAAACAGGAAGGACCCTGCTGATTCGCTGTTTCAGCTTCAAGAGACTGGAGGCAAGTTCTGGAAGTAGAATACTGTAGGGGTAGTGACGCCGTTCTCCGTCGTCCCATCGTAGCCCAATAGCTTCATCCGTCCCGACACCCCATCAAGGAAATCAACTTCATACAACTCGTCGGCATCAAAGACGCCCGGCGATATGTACATGCCCGACTCAGACTGGATGACAAACATCTTGTCTCCTCCAAACCACGTCTTCTCCGTCAGGCCCGCACTCGAGGCCAGGAACTTGCGAGGCGGCTCACCGCTGCTTCCCAGACCCAGACTCTGCACGTTGGAGACTAGGTCGCGGATCTCGTAAACTCCCTTGTCTCCCTTGCTGATGATGCCGCTTTCGAAGTCGGTGAGCATGGCCATCGTCGCATCGTCTAACGCTGTGGTCCGTCGCACCAGGCCCTTGAACGGCGGGATCTTGGCCGCCGCGGATTTCAGCGCACTGTCGTGTATCTCGTAGAGATCCGCCCACGCCTTGAAGGCGCCAATCTCAGACCTCGTGAGCTTGTACTTGGCGGCGAAGTCGCGAACGATCTTCTTGCGCTCGGCGACGTCTGTTGTGGCCTCGATTCGCGTGCGGAAGGACTGCAGGTCGGGGTCGGCGAAATCGGGCATGTACCGCTCGCCCGTACGGGAGCCGTCCCACTTGCTCTTGAGATCCGCGAGGAGCGTGAACTCCTCGGCGGTCAGTCCCTCAGCCTTGACGTGCGCCGGTATCGCGGCGGGCGGCTCGTACTCCCAGTCGGAGTCGGACTCCGAGTCGGAACCTGAGTCGCTGTCGTAGTTCGCCCGTCCCTCGTCGACGTTGTCTGCGAAGGTGGAAAAGTCGCAGCTCAGGTCCAGGTCCGACAGGTCTCCCAGCAGGCTGCCCTGGCGCTTCTTTCTGGCGCCGCGGGCAATCTTTTCGCAGTTGAGGAAGCCGTTGTTCTCGATGTCTTCGAGCGCTACCTTCTCGTCCTTTGTTGTTTTAAACACCTCGGGGTCGCCCTTGGGTCCTTTCTTGTAGATACGCACCGCTTTGCCTCCGTCGGCGCTGGCGGCCTCCAAGACCTGGCCGCCCTCGACGGCTTTGGGGGTGAACTTGCCCAACAGGTCGGGCAGATACTTCCCGGCCCCGAGCGCCTTGGCAGCCTCGACGGCATCGGCGACGGGCGCCAGGATTTGAACCACTTCGGCCGTCACTCCACCAGCCTTCTCGAGGTCGCCTTGGTACTTGAGGCTGGGGACGGCCTCGCCGGTGTGGAGGCGCCAGAGGGTGTCGCATCCCTTCTTGACGCGGGGCGCGAGGTCGCCCTTGAGGGCGTCGATGATGGCCACCATGCCATGGCAGAGCGTGACCTGGAACTCGCGCAGGTCGTCGTCGAAGTGCGTCACGAAGTCGACGGCCGAGTTGATGATGGACTTTGCGAAACCGACCCAGAACTGGTCCTCGGCCGGGAGCCAGCTCTCGTTGGGGTCTCCGAAGAGGGGATCTCTGGCATTTTGGCGACCGTGGAGAAGAAGCTCATGTCGTCTGTGTAAGGAGGTTCGCGGATAGCTCCGGCTCAGGCGCTGGGATGAAGACTGGGATGGCGGGGGCCCGGTAGCAAAAACGATGCCAGGGAACAGGCCTGACAGGCATGCGGCTCCCGCGGGGTTCGCAACGCATGGGCCCTGACTTACACGCCTCAAACACCCCTCGATAGCATCGTCGACTACGACTTGCGTGGAAACGGGGCCCGCGGTCTTGGGAAGGTCGCCGCAGAAGGCCGGGAAGAGGTGCAGCACGCATTCTCGGGACTGAGGCGTCGCGCTGCAGTTGGACGGAACGGTGTTGGCGGTCTTTGCGACGAGGCAGTCTATGCTCCGTGGAGCGTAAGTGACATCGTCCGCCATGCACCCGGGGAGCTCGATCAGGTCCACGGGGCCGGTGGGCATCGCCGCGCCGGCGATAGTGGACGCTCGGTCCGCGGCACGCGCCTCGCTAGACCGGACAACACTGCCGGAATCGGCTTCGTAGAAGCAGAAAGCGGACTCGTCGTCGGACCCAGCCCACCCGATGGCGTCGCCCGCGTTGGCCGGGACCGTCAACCGGTCGAGGCCCTGCTTGACGATCTGGAAGGGCCCCGACGCCGCGGGCGCCCTCCAGGCTTCCACCCAGAACGTCTGGTTATCCGCGTATGTGCACAGCGCCGGCGCTATGGTGGCGCCTTGGTCGTCGGATATGGACCAGCAGCCACCGCCCGTCGCGGCCGGCTCGGCGTTCTGGATGCCGGTGCGTGTTGCCGAGTCCCAGCGCTCTCCGGCTGTGGTATGGAAGCCGTTTGTGAAGTAGAATGTTTTCCCTGCGTTTGCCGGTTGCTCGGCGCCCGCGACGACGTTTTTGTTCGTCGAAAACACCGGGAGGTATATCGAGTTTGCGGCGGCGTCGGCGTAGGTCTCGGGGCATTGGCTTGCTTTGGTCATGAACGCATGCATGCGCATGCCGACTGTCTATACTCATGCTGTCAACCTTGGGGGAACGGTAGGCGTGTTAGTACCAAGCTGTTTGGGACTTACCCAGTCTACTTGGGCTGCGGAGGCAACCGAGATTGCGGCACCCAGGGTGGCACAGTATAGCAACGACTTCATTTCGAGAGGGAAACACAGATCTGATAAGGAATGACAGGAACGAGTGTGTTGATAATGAATGTAATCGGCGTGATGAGCCTAAAGAGCGTATAGAAGGACCGGTTCATGAGCCCATTTGACCTGCTCATTGTCCGCCAAGGAACATTTATACATATTCCCTCGCGTCTACGAGAAGCAGAAAAGCTGCTTCATGACTGCCTGCTGTCTCCTTCTCACGGGGCAATCACGTCAAATAGAACGAGAGAGGCGGTGCCATCAAACTTAGTCTCTGCATAGCAGGACGAAGGTTGAAGATGAATTAAGGGGGATGAGACCATGCGCAGGCAATCAATCTGTGCCAGCCAAGGACCAAGGGCATTACAGAGTGCCATGTAAAGAACCCAGCGCCGGCGGACGGGGATTCCGGTTGGTTGAAAGCTCTGTATCGTCTTCCCATTTTGAGTTTTGAGCACCTAAAGGGCCGGCCAAGAGACTTATTTTAGCAACTTTTTTTTAGCGCATACCAATCTGAATGTGCATATCTTCCCACGTTCCTTACGTGTATCATGAGTCGTGGAGGCAATTTAATTAGATGTGTATTAATGACTTATCCCTAGGAGCGGGCCAAACTCTCCGCACGGATGACGCAGGGCCAGCCGTTCTCTTAAGAGGATTATCTTATTATCCGAGCCACCCCTAGCAACTAAAAAACGCTAATTTAACCCTTGTATGCTAATAGTTTACGTTTACCCTACCCTAAGGCCCTATTAATACGCAATTAATACCCCTCAACACTAAAGTATTAATAAATACTACGTAATAATACTATAACTACGTAATAGACTAACATATATATATAAGGAGTCGCTTATTATAACGAGTTGCCTATTTTCTTTTCTTTTTATATTTTTTATCTTAATAATTATTTTTCTATATATATAATAATATATTTTTTTTAAATAAAAATCGTTTTATTTTTATATTTTA